TGGCCTGAAGCAGATGCTACACTGTCAATGTCACCCAGAACTTGCTTGAACATTTCAAACACATGCTTGGCTGTACCATTTTTCATTTCAACCATACCCAGGCTGTATGCTTTTTCATTGGTTGCCAGCTGGAAGCTCTGAAAGCTGGTACCCTGCTTCGACGTGCCATCACTGTGGCTGGTTGTGAACTGAGCATCAGAAGCGGTACTAGCTACATGCAACTGTGAAATTTGCCGTAACTCTACCAACATCTTGGAGGCAGTAGCTGCAGATGGAACTTCCGAAATTCCCACATTTGCTAAGCGCAAAACTGAACGTATCACAGACCCAAGATTCCACACACCCACGTTCTTTGCAAGGAGGTCATAGCAGCACTGACGCACCTCTGGTGTGTATTCACCATCCACCTTCGCTGTAATGTGCTGGCACTGCTGCATGGACCGTTCCACATCTAACTCAGCCTGTAATGCACTCACTGTTCTCTTTAGTTCCTTCTCCCTTTGCCCACAAGCAAGAAGCTCTTCTGTCACGTCACTCACGGCAGAACTTGTGCTGGAGCTCTTAGATTTCTCGTATGAAACTCTGCAGTACACATTGTTGAGCTTACGCCTGAGGGTTTCGACTGTTTCTAATGCACTGCCCAACTGCTCTTCCAAATCTTCCTTGCTCTCCTCCTCCTCCTCCACTCTTTCACCAAGCCTGGCCAACTGGTCATCATACTTGATCAACTGGTCATCTCGGCGGCGTAATTTCTTCCCAAGATTCCGAATTTTGCTTTGTGAAGCATGCAACCTATCCTGCAACTGCAAGGTAACTGAGTCTTCAGTTTGCATTGCATCCACTGCATGTCCTTCACCCTGTGCTTCAGAACATATCTCACTGCCACTGGTATTTCGGTCAACATCACCCATTCCATCTTCACTACTAGTACTATTATTGCACCCCGGCGAGTGAGCGTGCAAAGAACCTATAATATAGGTATATCTGCACGCTCACTTCGAAGCGAGCGTGCAAATAGGTTATTTGCACGCTCACTCGCCGGGGTGCAATATCGCACTGCAGTGCATCCACATTGGCTGGCGATGTACTGGGGAATATAGCACGCTCAGTAAGGCCGCTGATTGGCTCAAACCATGGAGACACTCACGTGGGGTGTGATAAAGGGTGTTATTCTTGATCTTAGCTGGGTACCGTATGCCAATAACTTTCCGCAGTTGTTGTCTGTGGAACGCATCAACTCTATGCATAGCGGTGCCAGTGAGGCCCCAAGTCCCGTTGTTGTAGCACAGGACCGGTAAGACGAATGCCTTGTATAGCCGTACTCTCAGCGATTCGTTTACAATGGAACCACGTATCCATAATGCCCAGAGCCGGCGCAGGGCTTTTGTTTTTGTGGAGCGCTTGGGTTGCAATGAAGCCGAGACCCTATGGTCGGTCAAGCTGCCCCTGCCTCTCCCCCACTCCTGCCATTCCATATGTCTCATCGCTGCCTTGCTGCTTTGTGCCATCAAATGGTGTGTGGTTTTTGTAAAGAAAAAAAAAAAAAAAAAAAGGGCAGCCGTGGCGAGTTGCATTTTCCGCGCAGCATCCTCGTGGTCACCAATGAGTATTTATCTACAAAGTATTCTTTCAAAGAGCAAAATACTAATGCAAGCAATGCCCGTGAGTTTTACACACTGCCGCCCTGTGCATTATACAACAAAGCTCTACAGTCCATTTCAGAATTTTAGACCTGCAGAGCTGAATACGAGTTAGGGACTTTCGCACACAGTAACCGTGAATTCTCCTCCAAAACAAACGGAATTTGAGAGATTGAATCTACTACTTCAATATGTGAAACAGAATATTCATTATTGAGAAGAAGGCAGCATCCACACAGAGACATGAACAGTTGAAATCAGAGCACAAAAAATTAATAGAAGATGGAGAACCAGACCAGAAGTTGGTGGCGAATATGGCATACTGTATAGCAGGAAATTTTCGGACGGGAATATTATCGGACAAAGCCGAATTTCAACCTTTCGTACGGATTTTATTTTCGTTCAGTGCTGCATACTAAATACACGTATTCGCATGCAATATGTACATAATTTCACATGCACAAATTTTAGTACGGAATTAATTTCAGTACAAAAGAGGCCGTGTACGAAGTCGTACGAAAATTAATTCCGTCCGAAAATTTCCTGCTACACAGTATTCAAAAAAATTATGAAGACTTATAAAGTCTGAAACTCCGGTATTGAGCCAATAATAAAAGTAGAAAGGAAAAGGACATATGATAACGAGTTAGAGTAACTCTCCACCACTGTAACTAGATACTATATACAGTCAGAAAGTGCAACAACTAGGCACAAAACTGACAAGAGTACTGAGACATTCGACGTCCTGACACCTAGCTTCAACACATCTCCGTAGCGCTAATCAGTACTCTGTCAGTTTTGTGCCTAGTTGTTGCACTTTCTGACTGTATACAGTCAACTTCGCTTATAACGACACCCGGCAGGGCATCAGAAAAGTGTCCTTATTCGCGAAGTGTCGTTATACCCGAAGTCTCATTATGTATTACAGTTGGAAGGGACTTTGCTCTGGGCATGGAAATGCTGTCGTTATTCGCGAATTGTTGTTATATCCGCAGTCGTTATTAGCGAAGTTGACTGTATAGTATCTAGTTACAGTGGTGGAGAGTTACTCTTAACTCGTTATCATATGTCCTTTTCCTTTCTACTTATAAAGTCAGTCATTATATTGAATCAATATTGACAGACAGACGAAAAATGAGCCCAACAACCATGGTCTTTCCAAACATACTGATGGGATAAAAGCAAAGCACAATTTTCATGACGGCCACCACCGGGGTCTCCAGTGTTCCATGCACTGAATGTCATTTCTTCACCGGTAACCCAGCGCCAATCACCCTCTGTTTGAGTATCACTAGCACCAATCCAAACATTTGGCAAGCCATGGCCTAAGGCTGCCCTCACAGCCGTCTTCTCCTCAGCTGTACGAATCACCACCAGATCTCCACCACAGTTGCGACATGCTTCTCTTGCATCACTCCAGGTAAGTTCTTCTCGGCGAAGAACATATCGTGTATTGTGTCTACTGACAAGTTTTTGAACCGCTTTTCCAATCCAGTCAAGCGCAGCACTCATCTTATCGACAGCATTGTCAATTCTTGCGATGGAATTTCCATTCATGTTCACAGAATTTTGAATATTCGTGACCGCACTTCCAATTCTGGAGATCACCTGTCCATTCTTGATCATTGAATTCCCATTCTTGTTCACAGAACCTTGAATGTTGCTGTTCACTTCACGGATTCTGTTGACTGCACTTTTAACACTTGAGATCACCTTTCCATTCTGGATGATTGAATTCCTGTTCCTATTGATAGCACTCTCTAGCTGTGTGATTGCCTCTCCATTCTCATTCACAGCATTGTTAACCGCAGTCACTGCTTGGCCATTCTCATTGACTGCATCTATCACCTTGTTCACCTGCGTATTCACATGCCTGATCTCCATTCTATTCCTCGACAGTAGATTACCGTTGGCACGTGCAGCATCACCATTCCTTGCGACAGTAGCTGTCACCAAGTTCAGTGAATCTCCAATAGTGTTCATGACTCAATTCAAATTTTGAATCATATATCTCAAACTCAGAAGAGATTTCTGACCTTCCCAGTGACTGGATGCAACAACACTTGAAACATGATTGGAAATGTTAGCTAAACGCAGCTCTGATGTCTTCTTCGTCAGCCACTTCTCCTGACACATCATACCCGTGTAACCAATCCGACAATGGCATGAAAACTTGTTCAACGCATTTCTACACACGCCGCCGTGGTGACACGGTGAGCTGGCACAATTGTCAACCATCGTAGAGCACTCCACACCTGCGTACCCAGCTGAACATGCACACTGAAAACCTGGACTACCAACCACTCTCAAACACGTGCCACCATTCTCACATCTTCTTTCATTGACAGCAGCAGCAGCAGCAGCATTGTCAAAACCATGACTAGTAATATTTGAACTCAATTTCAAGCAAGCATCAACCTCACAGTCAACACCACTGTAACCAGCTGAGCAACTACACCCATAACGTGCAGACTCATCACCAGACTCACCACCATTCACAGCACAACTGCCAAAACCATGACAAGGTGTATACTGCACGCATGCCAATGGACGTAGTGAAGTCTCAACGGAATCAGCCAAACAGCGGTAGATCTTTTCACGGTCACTGTGTACACTCACTCCCGCAACACGTAATAACACCGGTGACGACGAAGCTCTCACATCACTCACTGATATGCCGAAGTTGCCAAGCAGTTGGGAATATTTCACAGCACCACCAGCATTTACACCAGCAACTTGGATCAGCTTTGCCATGCAATCAGGCTGTACAGACGACAGTCCAGCTTCTGCTGCTGCTGTTGTTGCTGCAGTGGGTCCAGTTACAGTAGGTAGAGACAGAACCATGCTGCTGAACAGTACAAGTACAATGAAAAGTGCACTCAATAAACAATCCATCTTGAATACTTCTGCTGCTGGCATTTTTAAGAAATGGTTTGCTCCCCACACCGCATTTTTACACTGGCAAACAAGACCACAACCCACACATCCCACGTTGTGATCTGAAACGAACTACAGAAACACGTCTTCTTGTAGCAGGATGCTCATGTAGCCAGCAAGAAAGAAACGCTCTCTTGACCTGGTTTTGCCTCCTGCCCGCGCGCATATTCAAATCTTTGAACTGACAAAATTATAACGGTCAAAACGGACATGCACATTTTAGTAACCAGACACGGCATGCAGTCGCCGCGTTGTACTTGGCAACACGACAGACACATGTCATAATTTATGTGCCGAACTGACAAGCATGTCAACTGTCATCTCGTTCTCTTTCTCTCTCTCTCTCTCTCTCTCTCTCTCTCTCTCTCTCCCTTTGCCTTTCCTTTTCTCTCAAACATGTTCTCTCTCTCGATCAAAACTTACGGCTGGGTTCAGTCCCGGTTCCTTTCTTCAGCAACTGCTAAATGACTTGTTGGCCTAAATAGGCGAGTGAACAAACAGAGAAGGGTAGGAACAGGGCAGTACATGTGAAGAACATGAAGACATAATGGTTGCTGATAACTGCCCTATCTGCACTCCTCAACAAACACTGTGTGTACTGAAGACCACTTGTGCCAGACACTGGAGTTTGTATCAATAGACAGCAGCACCGGTGCACCGTAGTTAGAGCCATTCAAACCCCAAGCCTACATAGGAGGCGACCGTCCAGTTTCTTTTCTTGTTGTGCATGCTGCAGTGGGTCCAGTAGATCGACAGGACATTGCTACTACTTCAGTAAACAGTACCATGCACATATATAATCACCAATAAATAAATCCAAACAGTACCATGCACATATATAATCACCAATAAATAAATCCAAACAGTACCATGCACATATATAGTCACCAATAAATAAATCCAAACAGTACCATGCACATATATAATCACCAATAAATAAATCCAAACAGTACCATGCACATATATAATCACCAATAAATAAATCCAAACAGTACCATGCACATATATAATCACCAATAAATAAATCCAAACAGTACCATGCACATATATAATCACCAATAAATAAATCCAAACAGTACCACGCACATATATAATCACCAATAAATAAATCCAAACAGTACCATGCACATATATAATCACCAATAAATAAATCCAAACAGTACCATGCACATATATAATCACCAATAAATAAATCCAAACAGTACCATGCACATATATAATCACCAATACATAAATCCAAACAGTACCATGCACATATATAATCACCAATAAATAAATCCAAACAGTACCATGCACATATATAATCACCAATAAATAAATCCAAACAGTACCATGCACATATATAATCACCAATAAATAAATCCAAACAGTACCATGCACATATATAATCACCAATAAATAAATCCAAACAGTACCATGCACATATATAATCACCAATAAATAAATCCAAACAGTACCATGCACATATATAATCACCAATAAATAAATCCAAACAGTACCATGCACATATATAATCACCAATAAATAAATCCAAACAGTACCATGCAAGGTGTACCGGTACTCAATAAACCATCTATTCAGTACATGAACTATGACAAAGGCACAAAGAAAGCTTTCCGAATGTACTGTAGTCGACTTTCCAGCGCAACAAATACAATGTTAAGTGTTCGTAGTTGTTGGATTTATTTATTGGTGACTATAACAGACATCCGCCTAAAAACAATAGACCCACTCGGGAGAAGGAATAATATGAAGTGAAACAGAAGACTAAGAAGAAAAAAAGAAAGAAAGACTAACAACGATTAACACAAGGATGTTGCCGGCAGAACTGATTGACAGAAAAGAGGGTAGGCACCCAAGCTATGCACGCATAACACAGGGATAAATTTATCCTGTATAGCATCGCAGTTTGCGATGCAAAATCGATCTACTGCTACTCGAAAGTCACCGTGACTCGTGACTCGCAGAACATTGCGGCGTAGCTATCCATGCCTATCCTGTGCTGTCAAGTAACATGCATACAGTGCAGTGTATGTGCTGTCAAGTAACATGCATACAGTGCAGTGTATGTGGTGCAGGTACATGTACTCTCAATCTGCGCGCACATTTTATTTATTTAAAAATTTAGCTGTCAAGTAACATGCATACAGTGCAGTGTATGTGCTGTCAAGTAACATGCATACAGTGCAGTGGATGTGCTGTCAAGTAACATGCATACAGTGCAGTGTATGTGCTGTCAAGTAACATGCATACAGCAGGCGCGTCGCACCGACTTTGGAGGTGGGGCGGGCATGGAAGGGGGGGGGTCGGGGGGTCGTCCCCCGGGAAAAATTTTCAAAAATTGAAGCCAATTGCAAGCATTTCCGGGCATTTGGTGCCATTTCAGTGTACGGTAACTACAATGAAAGACTTTTTGATTCTGCAAAAAAACAAGAAGATGCTACGATCGGGGACAAACATTACCCTCCCCACGGAAAAAAATTCAAAAATTGAAGCCAATTGCAAGCATTCCCAGGCATTTGGTGCCATTTCAGTGTACATGGACTTTGATTCTGCAACAAACCACGATCGGGGACAAGGATTTGCCACGTTTGCGCTGAGTATCATCGCGCTTTGTTGCAGTGTGCTAAAAAAAATAAAAAAAACGGCCGAAAAAGTGGGCGGCCATGCCGGTGCAGTTCCGACGCCCTTGTACAGTGCAGTATACTCTAATTTCAGAAATTTTCGGTGCTCAATATTTTCGGTATGAGGGCAACAGGCCAGGTTAGGTGAACAGAAATTTTCGGTACAGAGAAGCAGTTCCCTATTGGATTATGTGTGTTAGTGTTTGTTCGGTGTATTGAAATTTTAGGTATGAAACAGACGCACCGAAAGTACCGAAAATAAAAGTACACCGAAAATTTGTGAAATTACAGTATGTGCTGTCAAGTAACATGCATACAGTGCAGTGTATGTGCTGTCAAGTAACATGCATACAGTGCAGTGTATGTGGTGCAGGAACATGTACTCTCAATCTGCGTGCACATTTTATTTATTTAAAAATTTAGCTGTCAAGTAACATGCATACAGTGCAGTGTATGTGCTGTCAAGTAACATGCATACAGTGCAGTGTATGTGCTGTCAAGTAACATGCATACAGTGCAGTGTATGTGGTGCAGGTACATGTACTCTCAATCTGCGTGCACATTTTATTTATTTTATTCCAAGCAATACATGGCTGGGATAGCCAATGACCACTTTGCGTGGTGATTGCAGGGTTTTTATAGCCAACCACGGCTATACTTCAGTCGTTTTTTTGCAAATGGGCTTTCAGGCATCACTTTTAAAAGAAGGACAATGTGGTAAACATCCAACATTCAAAGAAAAAGTGCTAATCAAAATCAAAGGCTGCTACACAATTGTGATTTCATATACAATGTACTGTAAACTGCCTAATATTCGCGACGAATTAATGTTCGCTATTTCCGCGAGAAGAGCGTAACGCGAATATTACCCATCGTGAAATCTAACTTCAACAGTGGGTGTATGTACGTGGCTCCAGTGCTTCGCGAACTTTTGCCATCATAAACTCACTGGTTCTAAGAAATCGCGAAAATTTAGTGACGCGAATATCAGGCGGGGGTTTACAGTAGCAGAAACTGCCATGCAAACATTATGACAGTAAACTCATCCCTGTAACACATTCCAATTAGTAGCACATTACTAATTGTTCGAGCCACGGGTGCTAATGGGGAAAAGCAAGGCCTAGAGGTAACAGTTTCTTGAAACGGGCCCAGTTAGCGATACAACGAGCGTTAGGATGCAAGGCATTCCAAAGTAGTAGAAAGCAGCGAGTGGTAGAATAGTACTCCCTGCTTGAAAGCACAGTGCACCGGTACACTGTGAAATTATTTCCATAGCTACTAGTATGCCAAAACAACGTTACAAATATAGCTGTAGTAGCATCTGGTACAGGCCAGGGTCCACTGCACTTTATTCCCAAAGCTATGCAAAAGATGTTACGAGTAGTAGGGTTTGGCGCTAGCCAGGGTCCTGCATGCCGTAATTATTGGTATGGTAGAGGTAACGGTTCAATACCGGAACGCCTTGACAGCCAAATTTATATAGACCCAAACCGATCATCAGCGTTGATTGTTCACTCGAAATATGTTTGTGGAAGGAAACTGGCATGTTGAAGTTTGCTCTGAGGCCAGAGTCAATCGAACTGAGCCACTCCTTTGTGTTGACCCATTGCCTCCAAGTTGCCCAATTTTTCGCTTCAAATCAGAGGCGGCTCCAAACCGGAAAGGTTTTAGAGTGCACGTCAAATTCACTCTGGGTCTGAAATTAGGTAATTGCTATCGCTCCACGACGGCCAGTACAGAGTAACAATGTGCCTTGTGTGTGCTTCCATTAGTTTTGATTGGTATGCGGTGCTTTATTTGCGAGAGGCGAGCCGCTGTTTACCTGCGACAAGAAGTTGATTTTTCGAAAGTCGTACAACTCAAGTCGCAGTGCGAAGCAACACGTCAAAACTCACCTGCTTGGTATGGCGCTTCTGGAGTTCTGGTCATCGCAGAGCCATGAAATTTTGGCCCGGAGTATAACACATCGTAGTCTCACTGTGACATATGTTTTCTAATCAAAATACCAAGAGAGAAAGTGCATATTGAGTCCGTTCCGGTTTGCAACCTATATCCTATTTGAAACCGTCGCCTCTACATGGTACATGGTACAAGTGGAATCCTGATAATTCGAACCTCGAAATGCCAGGAAAAACCTTCTAATTACCCGGACATTCTAATTATCCAAACATGAACCCACAATACAATATGTATGTCAAAATGCTCTCATGGTCACGCAGAGTTGCGCTATAGACCTTAGACACAAATTTCACGGATACTGAACTGACCGGCACAGCCTGATCATGCAGACTGAACTGACCGGTACTGAAGTAGAGAGTTCGAGCGGTCATGCTTGCAGCAACATCATTCGTTCGTTAACGCACTTTGACTACCTAAACTAGTGAGGAATCCAGTTATATGCCTTTTCAAAGCATTCAGTGGAACTTTAACCGTTTGACCAGTAGGAAAGGACCCCTATAAAGTCCAATTCGCCCCAAGTGGTCACGTGCACAGCCAGAAACTTGTCCAGGTTTCGTGATTTTTTTATATTTTGCTCCAAAAATTGGACCAAAATTGCTAGAAAATTTTCTGTAAAATTTCCGATATTTTGCTTGGAGAATTGCCGGCAAATTTGGGTCAGGCCTAGTGAGGGACCAGGAGTTGTAGGTGACATAGAAACAAGTAGTAGTAGTAGTAGTAGTAGCAGCAGCAGCAGCAGCAGCAGCAGCAGCAGCAGCAGCAGCAGCAGCAGCAGCAGCAGTAGTAGTTTTTTATTATTTTACTAGGGAAGTCCCAACAGGCTACTGCCTTTTACTGGGAACCCTAAACAATGCAGCAGGCACCATGAGAAGAGGAAAGCGAAGGGTTCTGAGCTGGCTCCCTCGTGTTGTATTCGTGTGTGTGTGTGTGTCTGTGCTACATCCGTCACCACGTGACGGTGACGGCCGTGTGCGGGCGCTCACCCATGACACGCGACTGAGCACCAGCTTAGCTTGCTCAGCAAAATGATCGTGATGATGGTGATGCGTTATTTTCTTCCGATAATTATGTTCTCTCTTTTTTTCTTTTTTCTTCTCTTGCCATGGCTGGCTAACGCCCCTCCTTTGCATTGGCTTCTGCCATTGGATGATGACATGAAATAAAAACGAGAGAGCTTGGAAGCTCAGGGCCCGACGCTATGCGCTTTTGCCTAGCTGCCTAGCTGATCATTCGAGGGTAATACTACACCGTCCACCACCTTGATGACCTGGGCAAAAAAAGCATGGGGATGTTATAAATTTTTCATTTCTCCTATTTTTTTAACATAACCTGGGATTCGAACACGCACTATCGCCCTGCATGCATTTCCCCGGTACACTTCGCATACATGCTCATTCTTCCAAGTTGCTTCACGTTATGAACTTGCACTTGAAAGCCCTATTTGAATATTGTGGCCTGCTGTCTTTGATGGTACGGTACGAGACAGGTACGGGATAGCGCCAGGCATCTTTTCCATTTGCCGTTCTTCGGCAACAGCTCACGCCTTCATCTCTGGTGCGGGTGTAATCTAGTGACTTCGTACATGCGTTACAATAGACCAATCCCTTTGTCTGGGTTCGTGAAAAGGGCCACGCGTGCAAGTCAGCTTGTGTTAAGTGCATGGTTTTGCATTTAGTTGGTATGTGGCAGCTTATCGGACAGAGAGACTTTTGCTCCCCGAGCTTGTGTATGTAAATAGTGTTTTACGTCGACCATGACGGCTACAATGCCCAACCATACCACAACGAACTGGTCGGCTACATCATTGTAGTGCAACAAGTTTCCATCTGTTCGAATAACATGCATGATGAGCTAGGCAAAAAAGCATAGCGTAGGGCCCTGAGCGAAAGAAATGAACTTTCTCTTTGCATCCGAGGGTAATACGACACTGTCGACGCGTCTACCACCTTGATGACCTAGGCAAATAGCACAGGGATGTTATAAATTTTTCATTTCTCCTATTTTTTTTAAAGACATAACCTGGGATTTGACATACTTTACAGGCAGAAAATTTCGTCGGTCAATAATTTCGTCCAACTCCAAAGAAAGGGATTTCGTCCGGTTAAAAATTTCGTCCATGGACTATAACAGTGTATAGAAACGCTGGACAAATCGACATTCGTCCGTCATTTAATTTAGTCCCAAAGCTCCTTGGACGAAAAAGACGAAATTAAATTCCAGACGAATATTTTTGCTTGTACAGTAACCAAGGATTCGAACCCGCGCCATCACCCTGCATGCATTCCCCCGATACACTTCGTATACAGACTCATTCTTCCAAGTTGCTTCACGTTATGATCTTGCATTTGAAAGCCCTATTTGAATATTATGGCCAGCTGTCTTTGATGGTAAGGTACGGAACAGGTACGGGATAGCGCCAGGCATGCCGACGGCACAAACACACACGGAATTAAAGCTGTGTGGACCCTGGCTAGCGCCAGGCGTTACTGAAGTAACGTCTTTTGCATAGCTACGGGAATAAAATAAAATGGTAAGCAAGGCGAGGGGTCCTGAGCTCAGCCCTTTCGTTGGTACTTGTACATGGTGTGACTTTTGCTTGTAAAGAACTCATTGGCAGTTGGGTCTACAATAGACCGTCTCACTCAGACACCATTAAGGGTTTTTTTCTGAGCGACTGTCATGCTTAGAAAATTTATAAAATTAATAGAAAGTAAACAATCATGTTAAGTTGTTAACAGCAAAACCTGAACTTACCCATAAGCCTCAAGTCGTGAGTGTCAGGACACTGCCGTGCCAAAAGTCCACTTCAGTTCTCTGGCACTATTGGGAGGGAAACGACCCTTGAACCGAGTCCAACACTTCCCAACTGACTGTTGCCACTACCAGGTCAGCTCATGGTCAAGGAATGAAGACGAGCTGCAGCCTTCTGACTTTTCCACCTGTCACACAGTCTGACCCACTCGTCAGCACTGCATCATAGCTTGGAAAAGCGATTCTGTTTGACATGTAAACTATCATTGTTATCAAGAGTCCATTAGAGGGCCTTTTGTTGTTATCTTCTCGTGTCTCAACTACAAACGTTCTGCCTTGACGCACTCTACATGACTGTAAACACTTTACACACAGGCTCGAACCACAAGTAACTTTTTAGTTGTGGTCCACAAGGCACAACGTCTACACGTGTCAGACTCAAACACTTTTTGAATTTAGCGGGAAGAACAACTTTTATGAGAGTTGCTTCTTTTTTTTTGGTTTCTTCGCTTGCGCTGAGCGCGGTACATGCACATCGCGCTAAGTCAGGACTCAACTCGCTCTACTCGATCGTGTGAGTCGTACTCGTAGTGTCATCGCTAGAAAGATCGACAACACAACAGGCTAGCCCGCGGCCCGGGCCCGGGCGCCCAGAAAAAGCCCCAGATTGTTTTTGTTTTTTTGTTGCTTGATGATGACGTGTGTGGACGTGTACGTGTACGTGTGCGGACGTGAACTCACCACTTTTGCTTTTTACAGCTGTATCCGGAAAGCTATCATCGATTCTCGAAATACAAATCAGATCTTGTTATTGGCATTGAATTCATTTTGTTGTGTGGCCATGAAGTAGAGCTCACGATGGCGAACACTGGGGTTGCCGTTGTGTTGGGAGCGCAATGGGGAGACGAAGGGAAAGGAAAGATTGTGGACATGCTGGCAGAGAAGGCGATCGCTGTTTGCAGATGCCAGGGAGGAAACAACGCCGGTCACACTGTGATCATTGGTGAGAACAATTTCGATTTTCATCTATTGCCAAGTGGGATCGTGCATGAGAACTGTACATCTATCATTGGAAATGGAGTCGTTGTGCACGTTCCGGGTTTATTTGCGGAGATCGAGCAAAATGAAAAGAAAGGCCTTGTTGGCTGGGAGAAGCGACTTCTCGTTTCCAGTCGAGCCCACCTAGTATTTGACTTTCATCAGTCTATGGACGGCCTCCAAGAAGCAGAGAAGGGCAAGGGTAGCATCGGCACTACTAAGAAAGGAATTGGCCCATGCTATGCATCCAAGGCCAATCGCACTGGAGTCAGAGTAGGAGACCTGGTTGGTGACTATCAGCATTTTACCACAATGCTCCGCCGCCTCTTTGATTGCTCTGTGAAGCGATTTCCGCAGCTGGAAGAGATGGTCGATATTGAGAAAGAAATTGAATTGTATAAGGAATATGCGGAGAGACTACGCCCGCTAGTCTGTGATACTGTGGTGGCAGTTCATGAGTTGATCCAGCAGAAGAGTGGCCTGGTCATCGTGGAAGGCGCTAACGCAGCCATGTTGGACATCGATTTCGGCACATATCCGTACGTCACGTCATCAAACTGCACTGTCGGGGCAGTGTGCACTGGTTTGGGCGTCCCCCCTCGGCTCGTGCAGCAAGTGCATGGAGTTACAAAGGCGTACACAACACGTGTCGGTGGCGGTGCATTCCCCACGGAGCTGGAGAACGACATTGGCCAACTGCTGCGGGACAGGGGCCATGAGTACGGCGTAACGACAGGCAGACCGCGTCGCTGTGGCTGGTTGGACATTGTGGCGTTGCGGTACAGTGCAATGGTGAATGGTTACACATCGCTGGCTGTCACCAAGCTGGACATTTTGGATGTGTTTGACGAGATCAAAATCGGTGTGAAGTATACCGGACCTGATGGCAACGAGATGCGTGGAGTGCCGTCCGAGCAGTGCGTTCTGGAGAGAGTTACAGTTGAGTATATCACCTTGCCTGGCTGGAAGGAGAGCATCAGTGCGTGCACGACGTTTGACTCGCTACCTGTGAATGCTCAAGCGTACGTTCGAAAACTGGAAGCGCTGGCTGGCGTGCCCGTGCAGTGGATAGGCGTGGGAGCTGAGCGCTCCTCTACCATTCAGCTCTTCTAGGTCGTTTCTTTGGGATAAGTATGCCAGCTGCTGCCAAGTCAGGCGTCATCAGTCGCAGAGCTGGCTCTGACGCGTGACAGCTTGCTGCACATGTGGTTGCGTGGGCACAGTTACAATTATATTATGTACATGTATGAGATTCTTACCGTTATTGGTCATTCAGCACCCTGATTTGACGGGCACTATGAGTATGAACAGAGATTTTTTTTCAAGTTCTGTAACGAGTATGTCACGAGTGGTGCAACTGGTTGCTGCACCCCCGTGAGACCGGTGCAGTGTGGTCTGGGTCACTGGAGATTCCGGTGCGTTTGACGTGTTTACCCCAGTTACACTCGTGACGTACTCGTTCCGCAGTTCGCTAGACCTTGACTGGAAACTCACAACACACTCGTGCATCAATGTTGATATGTCATTGTAAAGCAATTTGGGGGGGGGGGGGTTGTACCAACAAGCACACAACATGAAAGAGATGTCTGCGGTGGGTTGCATTCATGGAGTCTTACCTGTATTTTACGACTCCCTAGTTCCGGCATTGTTGTTATTATTATCTTTATTTGAGGGATGACCCAGAGGCAGGTAGCCTATCGAGGGGTTCTCCACTTGTGCGATATTGAATAGGTAGCATAACAGGGGGGGGGGGGGGGGGGAGGTAGAATAAATTAGCCAGACACATGGCCTGGAATGAGACAATAAAACTTCAAAGGAAAGTGTGATGTGCATTTACTGCTGAGGTGTAGTTATTGCAACACAGAAATAAATCCCTTGAGTCTTTTGAACCAAGCAGGTACATGACTTTTACTACTCCCTGGCACCAAGCTAAGAGCTCCCGGGTCCCAGACCAGCACTACACTATTTTTACTCTCTGTACTACAAAAATAGAACTGTTGACTGAGTCTGTACATGTTGTGTATTTCCCAGTGTACCGCTAGCACAGGAAGTAGTAAAATTATAGTATTTTACTACTTCCCACTCATCCATTTTTTCAATGTGAAATATTTCAAAATCTTGAGTGCATTTTGAAGTTTTGAACTCAGATTCATTCATGAGGTAGGCACTTCAGTCACGTGACAAGACCTGTCAAATTTTGCTGAGGTCTGAGTGCATACTTGCGTGGTATCAGCCAAGTGCATGCGCAAAACTGTACAGGTACGCACCATGCTTCGTTGTACGGGCATGTAGTTCAGTGCATCGTGCTGCTCTGACGTTCAGCTTTCAGTAGAGCCTACATACGTCATAGTGCGTACATTTTTACGACTTGCAGGTCATGTACACTTCCAGCAAAGAGTTTTTTCACAAGGAAATGTTGTTAGTACGCGTTGGAAACGTTGCCTATCGTCTTCAGCGTCGTGTTTCCATTCAGAAACAGTTGAGTTCTTGTTCACCAGGGTTTGCGCATAGCTGCGCAAGGAGGAAATATGGACGTAGATAGTGAGGAGAAGGGCTTGAGGCGGAGGAGAAAGATGCGTCGTCGTCCTACCTGAGCCTGTTTCAAAGCGTGCTGAAAGCCAATGTTTGACCCTGTTGTGCTTGAACGGCTACTGATGTTTACGAACAATCAAACGGCACAGTGGCTACAGGAGAAATCCTCCGATGAGAGGGACACTTTGATCGACGCATCCAGGCGCGCTGCACCAAAATTCTGTTCGAATTTCGAGGCTCGCCAGCAGACAATTCATGACTGCTGTATGGAGCAAGTGAAGGAGAAGGATCAGGTAGCACACGCAAGAGAGAACAACATCAAAAGGAAATGGAGACTTTGACGAAGATCACGGCTGTAGGTGGACTCTGGATCTCGAAGGAGGCAGCACAGGAGCAGCTCTCAAAAATGTTCTGTGTCACTGACGAACGCCTTGCTCTCAATTCGCAGTTTCACTTCTGCAAGTTTGTTCTGCTGCAGAAGGTCCGAAGTAATTTAGTTTGCACTTTCTACTGGTACAAAGGAGCTGCCAATAGAGAAACTGGTTTCCAACATCGAACCTCTGTTTGAAGTGGCGTTAACGTGTGCACGTGCGTTGTGTATGCAGAAATTCCGCTTTCAATTCATTTAGCGTATGCTATCTCTGGGTGCTTACCTTCTGAGTGCAAGAAGAATGTCTTTTATAGCATTTAGCAGGGGCAGTTGCCTGCTGGTGAACTCTAATGTCGATACTAGCTTATTTCACAGCAAACTGAAGCTGTTACTATGGGGTTGCCATGGGTTACTATGGGTTGCTATGGGGTTGCCATGGTGATTGTGGTAACAATTGCCGTATTCTGGACTATTGTGAACTTTGATCAGTATTTTGTTGATCCATAAACGGTTGTTGGTGTTTGTGAGAGCCGTGTGTTTGAAAATGCCACTCTGATGTTTTGTAACTATATCCACTGATAACACTTTGGGGATGCTGTTGATACCACAAATTGTATTGCTTTCGCCTCATGCAATTGCCTCTCTTCAACCCTTCATATCTCACTTGTATCTTTGTGGATTTCAATGAAATTTTGTGTGTGACCTCGTGATACCCACCACTGTCGATTTACGATGCTAAACCTGGGAGAAACCCGACTTGAAAAAACCGGCTGAAGTGCCTACATGAGGCCTGCGCTGCATGCATCATGCATGTGTTATGAACTAATTACTTATAATGTGGCAAGCTGGAATTAAATTTTGTCTCCAACAATCATACCGGTAATGCAGAAATACTACTGTAGACTAGTGTAGTACTAGCCATAGCAGGCTGTGAGGAGAATGACGACGTTCGGGTGGAGCTACAAGAAAAATTACAGTGGATCGCAGCCTGGAGCTATTCTGTCTAAAGTGCATCAGAAAAACCCTGATAATCCAAATGCGAAAACCATCGGCGATGCCTCTGCAAGTGAAAGGAAGTACAGAGGTATGCAACCTGCACTTGGTGATAATAAGACTAGCGTTTGCGACACATGAAACAAATTGTACAATTTATAATAATAATAATAACTTTATTAGGATGACCCAAAGGCTGACCGCCTATCGATATATCGTGGGGTCCGTCGCATTGAATTATAATAGTTGAAGATTCATTACTGTAGACTGTGTGGGTGGAGGGAGATAATTTTCAAAGAACTGATCAACAGTTTGGAAAAGCTGTCAAAGGACCTTCCTATGTGAAGCGAAAAAAGAAGAAAGTGAGAAGGGGAGATAAAGGAACAAAAGAAGTGAAGTGAGTGCATGTGTACATGTATCAAGAACAGTGGAAGAAAGCAAGTACTAGTGTGCCAAAGGGCAGAATACATACGGATATTCCTGCGGGATTTGTTTGCAGAAATCACGGGGCTACCGCTCTCGCATGCACATAGCCATAGGAAGTCAATTCCAAACGAGCAGACAGTGAAATAACGTTTGCTCACTAGAGTGGGACCCGCCTTGTGTGCAGGATCCACATGTGTAAAAAGTAAAGCTGCAGTCTCGTGTCTGTGTGTAGCCCGACAACTTATCGCCTCCAGGGCCATCCTGGCAATCCAGGGCACTGCACCCGAGAGTGCCACAATCTGCAAAACAAAGCGTGCACCCAGTGCCAGCACTAGACGCTGCAGGCGCAGCTTCCTGACAGAAACAGGCAATGCAGAGCAGTACGAGCAGTCTAAGTAGCCAGAGGGTATCGTGATTGGAACAAACAGTGCAAGGGCATCGGAAGGTATTTCAGGAGTGTACGGTCAGCCATTATACTTTTATAGGTGCCATTCCGGCCGGGGCTCTCCCCCGAAAACTTCAAATTGTTTAGCCGTAATCAGCGCACTTTATTAATCCATGGGTGCATGTGACAAGAAGTGGTACGTACAGTCGATACCGTAGTGATCGTAGCGTGCCCGACGCCATTGCAGTGCATGGGTCCCGCGGATGCATGCATGGAGATTGTACCATCAGGGTATCAGAGTTCGATGTAGTGCAGGTGAGATGGGAGTGTGCTTGTATGTAACCAGTCAATGAACATTTCTCAGTTTTGTTTTGGGTTGTTTGGGTTTTTCTGCTTGACCAGGATCGTTGGCCTCTCGACTTTATGTTGGTGGCTTAGCATGGAAGACAAGTGAGGGTAAGTTGTCCCCTAGGCTGGCATGGAAGACAAGTGAGGGTAAGTTGTCCCCTAGGCTGTGGATAGGCGAGTAGTAATGTGTACATGTTGGAGTAGGGAGTTGATGTCGGAGTAACCCTACCTGCTTGTCTCGACTCGTAACGAGTCGTAAGTGATGTGCTCTGCTGAGTATGACATATGCAATGCAGACTGACATTGCCTACATGTAGATGTAATAGGTACCCGTCAAGGAGACCTCTGTCTCTGATAAAGAGACCACAGCACCTGTCTCGGAGGACCACAGGAACAGGGTCCGAACAGATATCATTTCCAGTCGAATGGCCCTGGATACAGCGACCTCTACATGGACACAGCACTGTGTTTGGCTCTCTCTGCCAGCTTGGAAATGGATCACTTTAGGTTGTGAGCACATACATACCTGTGTGAGTATTGAAGCCAGACCAAGCATCCAGACCGTTTCTTGATGTTTTCCATTCCTACTATGGGCAATGAAATGGGGACTTACCCCGTGCCATATCCTGATTTACTGAATTACCGGTAGGTTTAGTGTAACAAGGCCACATGTTTTGTTTGGTTTTCAATGATTGCTTCTCTTGGCTTCTTGTTGCAGCGGAGATAAAACACTACTTCTCTACTTTCGGTGACGTCGTTGATATTCGGATCATCACCGACCGAGAGACGGGCTTCTCTCGCGGCTTTGGATTCATCACATTTGAGTCGCGTGACATTGGTAAGGTCCCCAGTTGCAGGTTTGTTTGTATTTTCCTGCAGTCAGACTCATTCTATTTGGCTTCTGTTTGATATTCCTGATTAAAATACCGGTATAAGTCGAACCATGCATTGTATAGCGGTGAGAAGGAGGGTGCAACGCCATGTTACGTCACTTTCACTATGCCGTGCACATATTACTACCCGCATAATTACTTGCTTGTCCCTCAAAAAAGTCCCTCGCTCAATGGTCTCTTGACGTGAGGATGTGGCTTTCAAACCCTGTGCCCATGGTGATCTTGCTGTATTTCCCTTGCACAGCGGAGAGGTGCAAGAAATGGTGCTCTTCACACAGCCCGGTAAGGACGGCGACTGCTCTTTCTGATAAAAGCGAATTCTGCTTGACTTTCGGATGTCGTTCATTGTGTGTCTTTCCATGCATGTGCTGCGCAAACCTGTGATGTAGCGCGCATCTTATTGAGTGGGAATGGGCTGAGCTGCGGCATTGCTCTTCTTGCTTGGTCCTGTATTGGCGCAGCAGGATCTCCATCACAGTGTGTTATATTCAGTACAAGTGGTTGTAATATGTTCTGTTGTGTTCTGTTATGTATGCATTGCAGATGCTGGGAGATCGTCCCATACATGTCGAATATGCAGAGAGGCACTCAGACAGGCAACAGAGACATAAGGTTTGTGTGCGAGCACAGGTGTGGGTACACAATCATGCACACACACACACACACACACACACACACACACACACACACACACACACACACACACACACACACACACACACACACACGCACATGCACACATACCTATAGCAGATTCTTGACTTTGATATTGATGGACATGGAAGCGATGATTGCTGCGGGCTCCTCTGTGGTACCCAATACTAACATTGTTTGGGGTCTGCATGTATGTGTGTGTGTGTGTGTGTGTGTGTGTGTGTGTGTGTGTGTGTGTGTGTGTGTGCGCGTGTGCGTGCGTGTGTGTGTGTGTGTGTGTGTGTGACAGGAATGATTTGAGTTTTGTACTATTCCACTAGTGTCAGTCACCACAACTGCTTTTTCCATTACCTTGCTTTGTTGGGGTCTCTTTGTGAGAAAGAAATTAGCTGCAAACTCAGCCATTACGTAGATATCAGTCACTCCACAATGCGCTCTTGGCCGTTGAGATTATGATATGGTCAGATCCTGCAGACTGCAGACAGCTATTTCACTCGCACAGAGCTCACCAGTCCAGGTATAGTAAAACGTGTCAAGGTGACGCCTCTGACAAGGCGACCACCTGTCCAAAAGACCACTAAAACAACGACCAATGGATGCTGCTTGCAGTCAAATGACGGTGGATATGGAGACCACCTGAACATGGGGACCACCTTTCGAAGGTCCCTCGAGCAGTCGGCTTAGACAGGGTTCACTGTAGTAAATAGTGAATGAATGGCTGATCAAAATCTGAACGGAATTGTCCTCGCTATGGTGTGGTGGTGAGGGGCAAGTGCAGTGAGTTGGTCGAAAGCACACTGTGGAGTAGTGCAGTGAGCTGGTATTCGTGTTCTCATCTTCTTGTATTTATTCTCAGCCCAGTGCAAGGGAGAACACCAGCATGAGTGCCAGTACCAGTGCCAGCACAGCAGCAAGCAACCCGGCGGATAGTCAACACAGCGACGCAGATGGGTGTGTGCTCCTTCTGCTTGTCACTTTCCTCTCTTCTGTGCGTTCGCCTGTGTTAAACCACTCAGTCTCTCCCCTTAGCCTTGTACCGGTACATACTCCTACTAATGCAGGTTGATCACTGGTAAGGGTTCGCCGCAAGAAGTTTTCGTCATCCCTGAAACGCAAGCCATGTAGTTTGTGCAGTGCACCCCTCCCTCTTTCCCAGTGTACTCTGGACAACACACGTTTACCGTATGTTCACCCGCCTATTCAATTTGTATTGTGCCATCTCAACAATGATTTCCCACCGAACCCTTGCCCCCCCCCCCCCCCAGGCGCGTACGCAGGGGGGGGGGGGTCGCGTTGCCTGGAACCCCCCCCCCCATATGTTCCAAACGAGCAACGGTTTGGGCATTGTTGTGTCACGGGCAGGGTGCGCGTTCGATCTGACAAGAATGCAAAACTTCAACAGATCGTAACTCAGTCAAATCTCGCTCAAATCCAACAATCCAAATATCCAGGTCGAATAGAAAACTCTCAGCTGTCTCAACACGTTTTTATTTCTATGTTTCTCGTCACCCGCGCGCATACGATTCAGGAGTCTGGAAGAAAAAAAGAAAAAAACTGTGCTGCACTGACTGTGCATGTGGGGACCAGCACACTCATGCACATGTACATAATGTGGCCTGACCTGCGCGACACATGATGCAAGGACGGCATTTTTTGTGCGCAATCTAGCTGCACATGCACAGATTGTGACAGAAACTCCTACCACATACTGTAGTTGCTAACTTAGTAACTATGGATGCTATTTTGCATGGTGTATTGGTGGACTTAAGTGTGAACAAAGGTCTAAGGGGTCGTCCATAATTATCGTACTTTTTTCACGAAACGAAATAATTCGTTATGGGGTGGGAGGGGGTTGACCAATTTCGTTGCAGAAAACTTCAATACATGTACATGGCTGTAGGAGCAGTGACACACTTGCGGGTTTTGTTGTACATGTATATGCCTGTATATCTCAACATTTTTTTACGTTCTAAGGGGGAGGGAGGGAGGGGTTGGGTCTAAACTAAAATAATTCGTTTGGTGAAAAAAGTTCGATATTTACGGATAGCCCCTAATAAACTTTTTTTATTTTTCAGTCATTTTTTATTTTTTTCCACCTCTCGCATACGTTTTTAGATTTTCAGGTGACGAGAAACATAGAAATAAAAACGTGTGGCCTTATGCAAGATTCAGGAACAGCAGTTTTTTCTTTGACTCCTTCTACTGTGAAGTTGGCTTTCAGTCCGATGATGCTTTTCGTGCACAACACATTCTTTCTAAGCCCAACAAAATAGAATTCCAAAAAAGTGTCCCAAATTCCTCTCCGAGTATATGTTTTGCTAACAAACTCTTCTTCCTATAATAACATTGTACTGTGCTGCTGTCGTCTGGTTTTATAGCAATTTCTGGCCTTCTGCTTTTGTCTGCAGAGCTGGCAAGGGATCTTCTAGTGCCGGCACATGGCTCTCCGTTGACAAATGCCACTGGCAATTCAAGTGGAGCAAGTCGGCGGAGGACGTTCATGGACCGTACCCATCTGCACACATCCAGGCATGGGTGACTGCGGTGAGGAGGACTGCACCATCCTATCAATTTTGTTTTTACTTCCAGTGCCGGTGTAGTCCAACTAGTCTTTTAAAAGCAACCACCCTACGGTGCCCTGAGAGCCAGTCTTTGTACACAGGTGGTCTTTCTTCTTCCCGTGTCACTGTACATGTATGTTGAAGTACACACACACGCACACACACACACACACACATACTGTATATCACCTTATTTTCGGTGTTGTAAAATTTCGGTAAAAGCCAACCCCTGACCTTTCGGTGTAAGGATAAATTCGGTATGCATGGCACCAAAAAAAAACAAAAACAAAAAAACGCTCTTGCACTAATATCTCCGCCAAGGCCAAAAGGCTCCACATATGTGTACCGGTACATGTTATGTATGTACAATGTACTACCGGTATACCAGTACATATACAAGTTGATTTTTTTAATTTGACAGTGATTTTCATGATTTTTACATATTTTGGTATTTCGGAAAATTTAGGTGTAATGTTAAATTAGGTGATCCAGGACCAGTACCGAAGTTACCGAAATTTAAATTACACCGAAATAAAGGTGTTATACAGTATATAATTATAAGCATGTTTGCTTTGAAGATTGACGTCCACAGATTCACATACGCCATGTTGATTTACTTTTAAGTACTATACTCACAAATGATGAAGTTTTTGACTCTGAATCACTCGCTTGTACTTCGAAGTACATGTACTTCCAGTTAATTTAGGTGATAGGCCATCTGATCAGTTGCATAGTGTGTAAACCTGTGACCTATGACCATGTGTAAGTCCATCTCATCATCATTACCGGTATGTACAGTTTAAGTTACCTGCACTTTTTTTCACACACTCGTTTCCGTTTTCTGCAGAAATACTTCACAGCAGATGTTGTGGTGCGTCAGGTGGATGCGTACGAGTACAACGACTTCGTGCGTCAAAACTCCACGGTCGGCCCGGAGGATCTATCCGGCGAGTTTGTGGCAATAGGCGAGGTGGACCTTTCAATGTTCCCGTGACACTGACAATCCAGGAGAAAGACTGGCTACCAACGAGAAGTACTCTGGCATCATGTCGGGACCGGTGATTGACAGTGTTGCCCGTCTTGATCAGTAAGCATTAACAGTGTGAACTAGAGGTGGACAAACACCGCCACTGTGCTGCTTGCTTTGCGGAATGCAACCTGCCTGTGATGAGTGTATCCAGAATGCAACCTGCCTGTGATGAGTGTATCCAGAATGCAACCTGCCGGTGATGAGTGTATCCAGAATGCAACCTGCCGGTGATGAGTGTATCCAGAATGCAACCTGCCGGTGATGAGTGTATCCAGAATGCAACCTGCCTGTGATGAGTGTATCCGTGAAAGTGCCTGTATCTCACTACGCCATCACTGCAACTTTCCGGCTGACTGGGGGCCGGGACAAGACTCACACTGGATCATACTCCAGTCAGCGCTACCAACCAGCAACGTGCTACTGACCTGTTTGCTTGTGTCTAGTGTGACACACAACGCACACAGCGTGGTATTGTGTATGACTGTTGGAACAGGGCACTGAGTTGCGGGCTGCCACTGCACGTTCTGCTGGTCAAGTCATGTCACTGACGTTTTTGATTCTTCACATGTCCTGGGATATGCCTGGAATCCAGCTGGCAAGGCTGGCCATACCTGCTGGCGCTAACCTATTTCAAAGCATGTCTTTGACGCAGCAGATGCAGCCCGAGTGCCAGCCGCAAAGATGAGAGTATCCCTCTGCGGTGACAGTGTTTCCACCAGTGTTTCCACCATTGTCTACAAGCATTCTGATGTACACAGGAACGTGTGCGCTCCCACACGGGCAAGTTTCTTTTTCCTGCCGTTGGTTCCTCAGTTCAGAAAGCCAGCAGAGCCTGCGGAGACAGCGTAGCACTTGGGGCCTCAGTGTAGAAGTATGCATGGCCCCCGGTATTTTGACTGTTTTCTGGCTGCCAATGAGTGTGCTTTCATCACCTCTGACGTTGTCTTAGTCCAGATACTGATAGTGTCACTGACATCAGAGTGTCCAGTAGTGTCCAGTAGTGACCATGGAAAGCAATCAAAACAAGTCTGTTGTCATGATTACATGTTAGCAAATTCAATTATATAACTTCATTACTCGTAAGTTGTTCTTTAGTCTAGAGGCGGTGTGGCGTTCATCAACACATCAGCACATCATGTAACAGTTCAATTAGGTCACAATCTTTTTTCAAAATTTATCACAATTATTATCAGAAACAGAACACAAGTTGTCTAGTCACTGTGAGCTTTGGTTTGATTCATATCCAGTGGTGCGGGTGCATTCATGAAGAGTATAGTTCTGCACAGCTCACACCTGCCAGGACACTACCACTGGCTAGCTAGCCAGCTATCTTGGTATGATGGTCTGCACAGCTCACACCTGCCAGGACACTACCACTGGCTAGCTAGCCAGCTATCTTGGTATGATGTTCTGCATGCTCACACCTGCCAGGACACTACCACTGGCTAGCTAGCCAGCTATCAGCTATCTTGGTATGATGATCTGCATCACTACCACTGGCTAGCTAGCCAGCTATCTTGGTATGATGTTCAGCTATCTAGGTATGGATGCTGCATGCTGGGCACAGGCTGCACGCGAGTCCGCGACACAAATGGCACGTCGATCTCAACTTCTTCCGTGCCAGTTTCAAATTTGCCGTCCACCTCCTGCGAAGTCAGGTGCAGAACGGAGGAGTCCAGGGATGGCAGCAGATTCTGTTTCCCGTAAGCTCTGACACTGGCAATCTTCTTTGGTGCTGGTTTCGCTGCAGGTCCTGGTTTTGCTGACGGCGCGGGGAAGATGAGCTCCGACGTGTCAATATCGTCGCGGTATGTTACCTGGAGGGCCGGTGGACTCATGCGAATTGCCTGGTAGCGTCGCTTCATGGGAGAGAACTGTATGGCAGAAGAACACGAATCGCACTCTCTTTCTATTTTGCAAGTTTTTTCCGCACATGCTGCGACTGCACCTTACTTAGTCCACCCCACCCCCTCTCAATCTTGCACATGAGACAAGCTAGCCTGTATACACAACAGCACTGTACTTGTTTCCACTCCCCCAACGGGATACATACGTCTGATGACTCTTATCAGAGTTCCACTACTGTATCAGCGTAACATGCTTTCGCCAGCCCCCTCATGACACCTATTTGTAACAAGTACAGTAGGTATCGGTTATAGCGTGGGTGTTTGAAAAACGACTTTCTATTCTTATTTCCGATATTTCTTACACACGATAAGTATCAAGTGTGACATATCACGTGCATGTACGCAGAGGCAGGAAGATCATTGTACATGCAATGTAGTGTTACTGAGTCTGTAACTGTGCTGCTGCATGCGGCTGGTCATGGTCACATAGGCTTACCATGTGGCTATGCTACATGAGTTACATGACCACAACAGTTGAACCTGCAGCACTACGACCCAACGCGAGTCAGGTCGGAACAGCATTGGACGGATATTATTACTATAGGCGATAATTATACTTTGTACTAATCTGGTATGTTTTGCTACACAAAGTCCATTCTTAGGACCGATATATTCTACTGTACGATAAAATTGCTTGCAAGAATAAATGTGCCCTTGAAATCCATGTTATGATTATGAAAACATGAGAGTTCATTCTTGTAGGCAGTATATTCTTTTACACGACCATGTACCACGCTATAACCCATACACACTGTACTAGGTTGTGCGGCAAGCCAGCAACACAACATGGCATCAACACAACATGGCATCAACACAACATGGCATCAACACAACATGGCATCAACACAACATGGCATCAACACAACATGGCATCAACACAACATGGCACCAACACAACATGGCACCAACACAACATGGCACCAACACAACATGGCATCAACACAACATGGCATCAACACAACATGGCATCAACACAACATGGCATCAACACAACATGGCATCAACACAACATGGCACCAACACAACATGGCACCAACACAACATGGCACCAACACAACATGGCAGCAACACAACATGGCATCAACACAACATGGCACCAACACAACATGGCACCAACACAACATGGCACCAACACAACATGGCATCAACAGCGCACATCTCACCTTAATGGAGTGCTTTTCATGCGCGGCCTGCCGCCAGCAAATGTAGAGAGCACTGACTATGACGATAAGTGCAGAGCCGGACACAGCCAGGGAGAGGATCACAATCCATCGCTTACCCCTGTACAGTGCGCAACACACAAGTGCAGACACACCGCTTCGTATTAACGAAGCAATGCCACCTTCCAGTACAGCCTAGTAGTGGCACTGGAGAGAAAGCTGCAGGTGCAAGGCTGTATTGCCAGCTGATGGCACCTTCCAGTACAGCCTAGTAGTGGCACTGGAGAGAAAGCTGCAGGTGCAAGGCTGTATTGCCAGCTGATGGCACCTTCCAGTACAGCCTAGTAGTGGCACTGGAGAGAAAGCTGCAGGTGCAAGGCTGTATTGCCAGCTGATGGCACCTTCCAGTACAGCCTAGTAGTGGCACTGGAGAGAAAGCTGCAGGTGCAAGGCTGTATTGCCAGCTGATGGCACCTTCCAGTACAGCCTAGTAGTGGCACTGGAGAGAAAGCTGCAGGTGCAAGGCTGTATTGCCAGCTGATGGCACCTTCCAGTACAGCCTAGTAGTGGCACTGGAGAGAAAGCTGCAGGTGCAAGGCTGTATTGCCAGCTGATGCCACCTTCCAGTACAGCCTAGTAGTGGCACTGGAGAGAAAGCTGCAGGTGCAAGGCTGTATTGCCAGCTGATGGCACCTTGATTCTACTACAATTCACTCCCAATACAGTGAACACCAAATTCGCAAAATACTGTAAAACCGGAAAATTTCTGTGGAAATTTATTTTCGGTATTAAACTTCAGTACATAAACAATCGACGAGGAGACAATAGTCGTAAAATGGCAATAAATAAGATAAATTGTGCACTCATAACAACAGCAAAAAATGAAGAAAGTCAAGTTCCATAACGTTTTCTTGTGACTGTCATCAGTGGAACGCCGTCACATAAAAATGTAATAACTAAAACACACACTTATATACATGTAGCTAATATGGTTTCAGGTAGAAATACAGCAGCCAGCCCTGAAGTACAAAAAGCGAAGACTTTCTCACATACACTATATTCACACATTGCAAAGGTGCAAACTTCGCTTTTTGTACTTGCTGGCTGCTGTATTTCTACCTGAAACTATATTAGCTACATGTATATAAGTGTGACGGTTTTAGTTATTACATTTTTATGTGACGGCGTTCCACTGATGACAGTCACAAGAAAACGTTATGGAACTTGACTTTCTTCATTTTTGCTGTTGTTATGAGTGCACAATTTATCTTATTTATTGCCATTTAACTTCA